GCCGAGTCTCGACCTCTGCAACCACAAATAGGTGAGTACACACACACACGCCGCACGCAAAGGTTTGCAACAAGACTAGTCCCAGAGCTAAGGGGTATGTCCTACGAGGAGAGGTTAAGGGAAATCGACCTGACGACACAGGAGGACAGGAGAGATAGGGGAGACATGATAACGACATATTAAATACTGAGAGGAATTGATATGGGCAGAGACAGAATGTTCCAGAGATTGGACTTAGCAACAAGGGGACACAGTTGGAAGTTAAAGACACAGATGAATCACAGGGATGTTAGGAAGTATTTCTTCAGTCACAGAGTAGTCAGGAAGTGGAATAGTTTGGGAAGTGATGTAGTGGAGGCAGAATCCATTCATAGCTTTAAGCTCATGGTGCATTGAGAGTGACCCAGTAGCAGCCAGTGAAGAGGCAGGGCCAGGAGCTATGACTCGACCCCTGCAACCACAACTAGGTGAGTACAACTAGGTGACAACACACACACATATACACATACTCAGATAAACCTAACCTAACACATTAACTCATGAAATCTCTCCCCACCACACACACATTTTTACACAAAGCTGAAGGAGCTAGAGCATCCTAACAGGATATAAAAAAAAGGGGTTCTCAAAAGGGAAGACATAAAGGTCTGAAAAGGATGAATGGGTAGAACATTTCAAGAACAAAATTTATCAAGAATGGGAAAAAAGGTTAAATGAGCTTTGCAATAACATGTTAGAGAAGATATCTGCAGAGAGCAAGAAGTGGGAATCACGAGCTGTAGTAGCTAAGGCAAAGATACAGAGATTGGAGGAAGAAATGGTTGTGCTGAAGCAGGATATAAAGATGAGGTCCAAAATGAGCAATGTGACTGAAATGAAATATCAGCAGGCAGCGAGGGGACTGAAGGAGGGGATGGGGCTAAAAAGTTGCTAGCAGAAGTACTATCAGGCCATCAGAGTGCCCAGGAGAAATAAAGGAAACAATAAAGGAGATGCTTAAATCAAATCCAGAGATATGAGGGAAAAGAATTGGGAAGAGAGGGAGAGGTCAATATTTATTCATGGGCTTCAGGAGGCTGAAGAGAAAACCTATGATGAAAGAAAGCATTGGGAGGAAATAGAGATTAAGAGCATCACTGTAACAGCAGGAGAGAAGGACATGTCTCAGAAAATTTTCACAGACTTGGGGATATTCAAGGGAAATAAAATCGACCAATCAAATTGACATTCACGATGACAGAAGTGGCACGGAACAGGATACTACAACAGAAGCCACTGTTAAAGGACTCTCAAGAATATCAACAAGTGTACCTCAATCGAAACAAAACATGAAAAGAAAGGGAGCAACTGAAAGTGAGAGCAACACAAAACCAGTGGAAGGAAAGGAGACAGGACAGGCAACGACAGACAGGAAAGCTCAGCCTTTGGGGAACATTAAACACAAATGCTTACAGAAACCTCTCAACCCCTGTCACCACATATCAACCAAACACAACAACCAGCAACAAACCACACTTCATAGTCCCCATTCTACTAAGCACTTATTTCCAATCACAGCAGCCTCCTATAATATTCCGCCCTGCCTCCCACCCTCCCAGCCTGCACCTTCCTCTTCCATCTCCCAAAATACAGTAATGGAAAGGAAGCTAAAGGTATGGCACACCAATGCAGATACAATAAATAAGAGTGAAGAGTGGCAAGAACGAATCACTGATACATCACCTGACATCGTAGTACTAACAGAGGCAAAATTTACAGGGATGGTAACAGATGCAATTTTTCCACCTGGATATCATATCCTGAGGAAAGGCAGAACAGAGGAGTGGGAGGAGTAGCACTGCTCATAAAAAAAACAGTGGAGTTTTGACGAAATGGGAGGAATGGACAGAAAGTAAACAGACGACTTCACTGTAGGAACACTTCAGACTGGGGGTCCAAAGGTGATGATAGAAGTGATGTATAACCCACCACTAAACAGTTGGAGGAAAAGACAAGGGTATGATGTGAACAATAAGGCAATGGTGGATACACTAGCTGAAGTGGCCAGGAGGGCTCATATGGGTAGGACAAAATTACTCATAATGGGAGATTTCAATCATAAAGAGATTGACTGGGAAAACCTAGAGCCACATGGTGGACCAGAAACATGGAGGGCTAAGATGTTGGAGACTTTATTGGAGAACTTCATGCACCAACATGTTAGGGATACAACCAGAGAGAGAGGAGAGGATGTTGCAGCAATGCTGGATCTTATATTCACCTTGAATAATTCAGACATAGGGGATATCACACACGAAAGACCCCTTGGTGCTAGTGATCATGATATTCTGAGTTTTGAATACCTTGTAGAGTTAACAGTGGAGAATGCAGCAGCACGAGAACAACGAGTGAAGCCGAACTTCAAAGAAGTGTGCTGGACACAGTACACATAACTAAGGTAGCGGTGAAGAAATTGCTAGGTGAACTAGATGCCTCATAGGCGGTGAGCCCAGATAATATATCTCCATGGATACTGAGAGAAGGAGCAGAGGAACTGTGTGTGCTGCTAGCAGCAATCTATATTAAATTTACCGAAACTAGGCAGTTGCCTGAAGCATGGAAGACAGCAAATGTAGTTCCAGTTTTTAAGAAAGGTGACAGTGTTAAACTACAGACCACTGTCACTGACTTTTATAGTATGTAAAGTCATGGAAAAGATTATCAGGAGAAGAGTGGTGGATCACATTGAAAAGATTGAGCTCATACATGACAGTCAGCACGGCTTCAGAGATGGGAAATCCTGTGTCGCAAATCTACTTGAGTTCTACGATAAGGTAACAAAAGTAAGATAGATGGGTCGATTGCATCTTTTTAACTGTAAAAAATTGCAGCACGATTAGTCCAGGAACTGAGGGGTATGTCTCATGAGGAGAGGTTAAGGGAACTCAACCTGATGACACTAGAGAATAAGAGGGATAAGGGGGACATGATAACAACTTATAAAATTCTGAGAGGAATTGAAAAAGTGGACAGGTATCGAATGTTTGAGAGGTGGGATACAGGAACAAAGGGCCACAATTGGAAGCTGAAAACCCAGATGAGTCATAGGGATGTTAGGAAGCCACTGGCCCAGTGGCTAACGGGACGGTCTGGAGTTTTGTGACTCGGATCGCGGGTTCTAACCCTACCCGTGGCATGGCTTGTTTGCAATCGTGTCATTACGATTTCGTGAGTCTTATTCCCTCTTTTGTTTGTCCTTTCGTATACCTCGCGGCTCGTGCGCCAATGGAAATAAGTCAGTCTGACTTTTTTGGGTGATACTAGGTTCATTACACATGTGCTGCTATGTATGATTGTGTATCTGTATTTGTGTATACATGACTAACTTACACGAAGTGCATATGATAGCCTCAACGTGACAAAAATTCGACTGGAAGTTGACCATTCGTTACGGACACACGTGTGAAAATGAATTTCTGACATACGATTTACAGCAAATTTCTCGATTTGCGTTATTTAGGTTAGATTAATTTTGGTTAGGTTAGGTTAGGTTAGTTTTGGTTAGGCTAGGTAAGTTTTGGTTAGGTTAGGCTAGTTTTGGTTAGGTTAGGTTAGGTTAGAGAAGGCTAGGTTAATTTTGGTTTGGTTAGATTAGTTTTGGTTAGGTTAGTTTTGGTTAGGTTAGGCTAGGTTAGTTTTGGTTAGGTTGGGTTAGTTTTGGTTAGGTTAGATTAGGTTAGTTTTGGTTAGGTTAGTTTTGGTTAGGTTAGTTTTGGTTAGGTTAGGTTAGTTTTGGTTAGGTTAGGTTAGGTTAGGGTAGGTTAGGTTAGGTTAGGTTAGGTTAGGTTAGGGTAGGGTAGGTTAGGTTAGGTTAGGTTAGGTTAGGTTAGGTTAGGTTAGGTTAGGGTAGGTTAGGTTAAGTTAGGTTAGGTTAGGTTAGGTTAGGGTAGGTTAAGTTAGGTTAGGTTAGGTTAGGTTAGGTTAGGTTCGGTTAGGTTAGGTTAGGTTAGGTTAGGTTAGGTTAGGTTCGGTTAGGTTAGGTTAGGTTAAGTTAGGTTAGGTTTGGTTAGGTTAGGTTAGGTTAGGTAAGGTTAGGTTAGGTTAGGTTTGGTTAGGTTAGGTTAGGTTAGGTTTGGTTAGGTTAGGTTAGGTTAGGTTAGGTTAAGTTAGGTTTGGTTAGGTTAGGTTAGGTTAGGTTAGGTTAGGTTAGGTTAGGTTTGGTTAGGTTAGGTTAGGTTAGGTTAGGTTAGGTTAGGTTAGGTTAGGTTTGGTTAGGTTAGGTTAGGTTAGGTTAGGTTAAGTTAGGTTTGGTTAGGTTAGGTTAGGTTAGGTTAGGTTAGGTTAGGTTAGGTTAGGTTAGGTTTGGTTAGGTTAGGTTAGGTTAGGTTAGGTTAGGTTAGGTTGGATTATTGTCTAAATAAAAAGCGATCAATTATATGCCACAAGTGGAATACATGATAATGCAATTGAAAAATGCGTTGACGCTGAGTCGGAAAACTGGGCCCCACCGAGCGTCGTAGACAGCTACCTGTCACACACTAATCTGACTGTTGTAGCAACAGTCAGATTGGCTTTAATAGGCTGCGTATAGTTAGGTCGTCTGTTCCAGCTGACGGACTGGACAAACCAATAGTGGCGAAATGTTCCTTTTAATAAATTTCCTAAAATACCCACAAATCCATTACCTTAATTTTTAAAGGGGGTGGACCGGTAAGCCAGTGGAAGGCCTCGGTCAGATGACCAAAAGTTCCTGTTTCCTGACAAGCCTTACCTAACCTTACCTACACACAAGTGTGTATGAATAATAAAACGGCACAATACTATGAAACTATACATAAATAACCCGTATATAGCAGATTGAAACTTAAACGACGTTTCGCCCCGACTAGGACCATAAACGTATTCATAACTAAAAAAGCCACAATACCGTGACTGGAACAATGGTCCAAGTCGGACCGATACGTCGTCGTAAGTTCCTATGTGCGGGTTATCACCATTTACAAATTCATAGGATAATTTACCTTGACTAACGCGACGATGTAGATAACAGAAAATATAACTCCTGCTATGCCCTCACCAATACCGATGAACACACGCATTTGGAACACTGTGGGAGATGAAAGTTAATTGGTTAATTGGCATTAATTAGGGCCATAAGGGCTGCATGTTATTATTATTATTATGATCATGGGGAAGCGCTAAACCCGGAGGATATACACGCCTGGGGCGGGGGGATGTGTAAGGCATTCAGGCATTAATTCGGGAACTGAGCACGATATCTATTTTAATCAAGAAGCGCTAACCGGAGGATATCAAGACTCCTGAGGGGGGGGAATGTGAAGGATTAGCTTATATTCGGGAACTGTGAAGCACAGATCAACATACCCGGATCAAAACTCTAGAGCCTTTCAGTATTGTATCAAGCAACTTCATGAGGTGGAAGATAAATTTTAATATATATACTTATGAAATATCAATCAAGTGATACAATGATGAATATAATACAGTATTATAGTATAACTTAGTTATTATTTATATCATAAATATATATATTGAATATAAATATATATATATATATAATATATATATATATATTATATATATATATATATATATATATATATATATATATATATATATATATATATATATATATATATATGTATATAGTTTGAGACTGGCCAGTACCTCCACACTACGACTCTCTGAAAACTTACCCTACTCCTCCTGTTGCTGTCTTTGCAACATTGCACAGCTCCTGATGACGCACTGAGAAGTGTGAAAGTACTCTGAACTAAAGATTTCCACCCCCAATGGCTTGTCTTGCATAGGTAAGAATATTTAAAAACATAATGCAGGGCACGGACTCTCTGATACCCACCATTGTGGTCTTTCTACGATCCCCGTTGGGGATCATTTCTTTTGCTCAAAGATGCATTCTTCGTCTGTAATGACGATTTTCAAGCCGAGAAACTTAGTATTACCACTACCACTACTGTTACCTTCTCACCGAAGGTGCATTCCAAGTTATGCCTTCTCCAGCACTCGGGGCGAAGACGTAGGTCTTCATTAAACGTCCTGATAAGCTTATAACAACCCAATCTCTCGACAAACTCAAGACATCAGTAGATCAGAATTCATGGACCACTGTGAATTAAATCACCAAAATTCTTCAGTGCTAAAGAAGACTTTGACTGACGTCACTATGGCTGCTCAAACTATTACCTCTGGAATAGTGATCCACTAATACAGCAAGCAAAGCCACATTGAAGCAGAGAGATTTCAACCGATAACACAGTGTTGGCGCTGCTACTCTTATCTGCATACCACCAAGGACTGTCCTGTCATGGGTAAAAAATCCTGTTCGACCTGTGGCAGTAAAGGACGTGATTTCAAGACTTGCACCACCCTTCTCCAAAATGCCTGAACTGCAAGAATCGCTGCCAAGTGCCCTACGAGAAAAGAAATTGTCAATAAAAGTCAAGAAAAACAAAAGAAAACATCTACAAGGTCTCCAACGTAAGCTGCAATTGCGAAACTGAAAGCCAGTATCACCAAAACTCTTAAAGCCTCTCATGTTCGTCCTCCACTAGGAACATATTATCCCCATTACCTGACGGTGTTGCTACAAAAATCCACTGCTACGTGATATATGCTCATATGGCAATACCAGGAGCCTTCAACACTATTATTAATGAACTCGTCAGACATAACAACATGCCAAGTTTTACCTTCCTTGATTCTCCACCTTTCAACTCCCCTCGCTCCCCTACTGAAGACAGTAGAACTATACAAGAGATGAGGTAATCAGTCCCTCAGCCTTGGAGTTGGTGCTAAGATTACCGTAGTCGTGAAGACTACGGTGCTCTTCACGACTACCGTGCTGTTCACGACTACCGTGCTGTTCACGACTACCGTGCTGTTCACAACTACCGTACTGTTCACGACTACCGTGCTGTTCACAACTACCGTGCTGTTCACGACTACCATGCTGTTCACAACTACCGTGCTTTTCACGACTACCGTGCTGTTCACAACTACCGTGCTGTTCACACTACCGTGCTGTTCAACAACTACCGTGCTGTTCACGACTACCGTGCTGTTCACGACTACCGTGCTGTTCACAACTACCGTGCTGTTCACAACTACCGTGCTGTTCACAACTACCGTGCTGTTCACAACTACCGTGCTGTTCACAACTACCGTGCTGTTCACAACTACCGTGCTTCACAACTACCGTGCTGTTCACGACTACCGTGCTGTTCACAACTACCGTGCTGTTCACAACTACCGTGCTGTTCACAACTACCGTGCTGTTCACAACTACCGTGCTGTTCACAACTACCGTGCTGTTCACAACTACCGTGCTGTTCACAACTACCGTGCTGTTCACAACTACCGTGCTGTTCACAACTACCGTGCTGTTCACAACTACCGTGCTGTTCACAACTACCGTGCTGTTCACAACTACCGTGCTGTTCACAACTACCGTGCTGTTCACGAACTACCGTGCTGTTCACAACTACCGTGCTGTTCACGACTACCGTGCTGTTCACAACTACCGTGCTGTTCACAACTACCGTGCTGTTCACAACTACCGTGCTGTTCACACTACCGTGCTGTTCACAACTACCGTGCTGTTCACAACTACCGTGCTGTTCACAACTACCGTGCTGTTCACAACTACCGTGCTGTTAACAACTACCGTGCTGTTCACGACTACCGTGCTGTTCACAACTACCGTGCTGTTCACAACTACCGTGCTGTTCACAACTACCGTGCTGTTCACAACTACCGTGCTGTTCACAACTACCGTGCTGTTCACAACTACCGTGCTGTTCACAACTACCGTGCTGTTCACAACTACCGTGCTGTTCACAACTACCGTGCTGTTCACGACTACCGTGCTGTTCACAACTACCGTGCTGTTCACAACTACCGTGCTGTTCACAACTACCGTGCTGTTCACAACTACCGTGCTGTTCACACTACCGTGCTGTTCACAACTACCGTGCTGTTCACATACGTGCTGTTCAAACACGTGCTGTTCACAACTACCGTGCTGTTCACAACTACCGTGCTGTTCACAACTACCGTGCTGTTCACAACTACCGTGCTGTTCACAACTACCGTGCTGTTCACAACTACCGTGCTGTTCACAACTACCGTGCTGTTCACGAACTACCGTGCTGTTCACAACTACCGGTGCTGTTAACAACTAACTCCAAACTACGTGACTGATTCAACTACCTCTTTACAACTACAGTTCTACTGTCTTCAAGTTATGTCCTAGAATCTTGTATTGATAAAGCCACTGTTGGGCGAAACGTCTACATTAAAGATACCCAGATGTTGCACATGTGTCTAATTTTAATGAAAGCACAAGACGTCTCCCAGCCAGGTAGGGTGACCCACATATTTTCATACCAATTTAATACGTGGGCAGCCTAATTTGCATACACTCCCTGTACTAGACGTTGATGTTTTGTCCGTCAGGGAACGCTGTTTTGTCCGTCGGGAACGCTGTTTTGTCCGTCGGGAACGCTGTTTTGTCCATCGGGAACGTTGTAAGTGACACGGGTCGTTGTTAGGTAATGACTCCCTCGGTGACTAAGATGCTTCCAACCATTGTTGCTAAGTTGTGTGACTCATAGGGGTTTAGCGCTTCTTCAAAATATATATGTGAAGTGGACACCACGAGCATAATGGTGTCTGTAAATTTAAATATGTCGGTTTTACACCATTTATCACAAAAATGACGAGGTACCAAAAATCCGAGTAAAGTTGTATACACCGAGAGGTGTATTACTGTGTATATACGCTGTGTATTACTGTGTATATACGCTGTGTATTACTGTGTATATACGTTGTGTATTACTGTGTATATACGCTGTGTATTACTGAGAGGTGTATTACTGTGTATATACGCTGAGTTAACGTTAATCTTTAATTTGCCCGAAATCCCTTGCATGTTAGTGACTTTCTTTGTAACTAACAATAATTTATTATATGTAAACTACTCTCTGTACACTGCACAAAGAAATCTAGTTTGTTTTAGAGTTTAAAGTATTCTTGAACATTAAAATGGTATTCTTGTTTGCTGATGTTATTAGGAACATTATTGACTCTCATGTAGTTGATAGACTTTAAACCCAATAATAAATTCTAACCATACAATAAAGCGAGAAATTAACGTGAAGGACCTGGGAGTGATAATGTCGGAGGATCTCACTTTCAAAGATCACAGTAGTGTCACTATCTAATGGAAAACGAGAACCTTCAAAATAAGGGATGCCAAGCCTAACCTAACTTAACCGAACGTAGCCTCTAACCTTACCTTACTTAACCTCTAACCTTACCTAGCCTCTAACCTAGCCTAACCTAGCTCTAATCTAACCAGACCTAGCCTCTAACCTAACCTAGCTCTAACCTAACCAGACTTAGCCTCTAACCTAACCTAACCTAGCCTTTAGCCTAACCTAAGCTAGCCTCTAACCCAGCCTAATCTCAGACCTACCCCAACCTATCTTCTACCCTAACCTAGACTGTAAGCTAACCCAAACTAAACCAGAAAGTTGCTGCAACCCGTATGTGACAAATCCACACAAAAACTTATGAAAGTTAACAGGATGAATGGGTATTTTCCTCGACCCTTGACTGTAACAAAACCTCCGACGCCGCCAAACAATAGCCTCACTTAGACAAAAAACAATATTACGGGAATGCTGGGGACAATGGCAAGATGCCGACGGCTTATTTTTTTCAATACAAATACAGTAAAGGCCTTTATTTCTACTCTTCAGGTACTTGAAAAAAAGCCCGCCGTTAACCTTTTTCAAGTACGTGGAAAAAAACGGTACACAACCCGCATTTAGGAGAATGAAATTTAAGTCTGACCAACACATCCGCCATATATTTCTCTCTGATGTGCGGGTTATTTATGTATTGTTCCAGTCACTGTATTGTGACTTTTATTACATAAGACTAGTGTTGGGTACAATGTAGAAAGAATATTATTCTGTTTGTCTCTTTTTCAAAAACGGAAATAGGGAGACTGGATAAACAAATATGTAAACAAAGGGAACCTAGTCACTGAGAGGTAATGTCTAAGAACTAGAGTACTGTCTGAAGGGTCTATCCTGGGATACTATTCTTGATACATGTCAGAAGAACCTAGTCACTGAGAGGTAATGTCTCAGAACTAGAGAACTGTCTGAAGGTTCTATCCTGGGATCCTATTCTTGATACATGTCAGAAGAACCTAGTTCACTGAGAGGTAATGTCTCAAAACTAGAGTACTGTCTGAAGGTTCTATCCTGGGATCCTATTCTTGATACATGTCAGAAGAACCTAGTCACTGAGAGGTAATGTCTCAGAACTAGAGAACTGTCTGAAGGTTCTATCCTGGGATCCTATTCTTGATACATGTCAGAAGAACCTAGTCACTGAGAGGTAATGTCTCAAAACTAGAGTACTGTCTGAAGGTTCTATCCTGGGATCCTATTCTTGATACATGTTCAAGAACCTGTCTGAAAAGTTCAGAACTGAGTACTTCTAAGTTCTATCCATCACTGACTGATAGCCTCATGAGGGTGAATGCTCAAAACTAGTACTGTCTGAAGTCTACTTACCTGGGATCCTAATTCTTGTATACATGTCAGAAACCTATTCACTGAAGCGTAATGCTCAAACTAGAAGTACTGTCGAATGTTCTACTCCGTGGATCCTATTATGATACAGTTCAAGACCTGCCAACAAGTCTAGAAGTATTCTTCATCATCACGAGCTGGACAGCCTCCTGAGGCGTGATGGCTCACCTGTGATCAGTTGTTAGGAGGTCCGACTGAGCTTTCACGACGGCTAAGTAAGGTGTACCTAGGTAAGGTGGTATACGTTTCATGCGACAGACGTCAGTGACCTGACCACCAATTCAAAAGCTCGGCTCGCTCGTCCCCTCAGCCTGCCCACGGGATACAGCCGTGGTACTGTAAGCCGTGGCGCTGTAACAGTTATACTCAAACGGCTATACGCCATTAACAGAGGGATATCAAGAAGTATTTCTTCATCCTTAGGGTGGTCAGCTCCTGGACAAAATAGTGCAGGCAGGCTTCATACATAGTTTTGTGAATGGGTACGACTGGCTTCACGAGGCTAAGAGGGTGTAAACCAGGTAAGGGGTACGTTATGAGGCGGGCCAGGAACTGTGACTCGACCCCTGCAATCATAAATAGGTGAGTACGAAGGAGTACACACACACACAACACACACACACACACACACACACACACACACACACACACACACACACACACACGCACACACACACACACACACACACAACACAACACACACACACACACACACACACACACACACCACACTCAACACACACATTATATATATATAATATAGTATATATATATATTATATATATATATATATATATAATGTATGTATATGTCGTGCCGAATAGGCAGAACTTGCGATCTTGGCTTAAACAGTAACGTTCATCTTGCCATATAGGACAAGTGAAAATTTGTGTATGCAATAATTTCGTCAAATTTATTCTGAACCTAACGAAAAAAATATATTTCATTGTGTTTGTTTAGTATTAAATTATTGTAAACAAATCTAAAATATATTTAGTTGCGTTAGGCTAAAATAAATTGTTCTTGTTATAATAAGGTTAGGTAAGTTTTCTAAGATTCTTTTGGGGCAAAATTAAAAATTTTTACATTAACATTAATGAAAAAAATATATCTTTAAATGTATAAGAGAAAATTTTAGAAAGGACTTAATTTTAAATGAGTTTTTTGCTAATTGACCAGTTTACATGTTCGGCACGACATATATATATATATATATATATATATTATATATATATATATATATATATATATATATATATATATATATATATATATACTTATTGTAACCACGAACGAGTGGTATTTAATCAACATCACTGCGACTAGCCGAGGACTCGAACCCATGTTGTTTTGGCCCACCTCATGGTGAGCGAAAACCGCATGACACTCTAACCCACAGGACCACCAAATCCTACAAGAATGACGCACCCAGCCAAGCTAGGTGTTTTACAGTCATCCGAGGACATACGGTGGTGTGGGTGCCTCTGAGCTAATTTAATTTTACTCCCTGTTTGGTGTACTAACCCAACGAGCAGTATTTTATATTACTGTAACCACGAACTAGTGGTTCGAATCCATGGCAAAGTCAATACCACTCGTTCGTGGTTACAATAATATTTATGTGTACACACGCCGTGTCTATCGACAAGTAACTTTGACAACTAGTAACTAACTCAAAACAAGCCAAGTGTCTTGCGAAAAGTGCTTTTGACAGCAACACACAGCACAGAGAACACAACACACAATACATACCCTTAAAACACACCACAGGCCAAGTGTCTATCGACACGTGCCTTTGGCAACTGGTAACTAACTACTTACTCTGCTCGTAGATGTAGATCTTGTTATGACACTTCTCTACGGGTAGGTTGAGCGGGCACAGGTAGAATGACTGAACGATGAACTGGTAGCCGTAGAAACCAGACGTCACTAGCCCGTGTATCTGTGAGACAACGTAGCAGTGAGACACTGGTGAGAGACACTGGTGAGACACTGGTGTGGTGAGAGACAGTGGTGAGACACTGGTGTTGTGAGAGTGATGAGACACTTGTGGTGAGACACTGGTGTGATGAGAGACAGTGGTGAATCACTGGTGTAGTGAGAGACAGTGGTGAGACACTGGTGTTGTGAGAGTGATGAGACACTTGTGGTGAGACACTGGTGTGGTGAGACACTGGTGTGGTGAGAGACAGTGATGAGACACGTGTGGTGAGAGACAGTGGTGAGACACTGGTGTGGTGAGACACGTGTGGTGAGAGACAGTGGTGAGACACTGATGTGGTGAGAGACAGTGGTGATATACTTGTGTGGTGAGACAGTGGTGAGACAGTTGTGTGGTGACAATGGTGAGACACTTCTGTGGTGAGAGACAGTGGTGATACACTTGTGTGGTGAGACACTGGCGTGGTGAGAGACAGTGGTAATACACTTGTGTGGTGAGACACTAGTGTGGTGAGAGACTGGTGAGACACTTGTGTGGTGAGACACTTGTGTGGTGAGACACTAGTGTGGTGAGAGACAGTGGTGAGACACTTGTGTGGTGAGACACTTATGTGGTGAGACACTTGTGTGGTGAGACACTGGTGTGGTGAGAGACAGTGGTGAGACACTTGTATGGTGAGAGACAGTGGTGAGACACTTGTATGGTGAGAGGCAGTGGTGAGACACTTGTGTGGTGAGACACTTGTGTGGTGAGACAGTGGTGAGACACTTGTGTGGTGAGAGACAGTGGTGAGACACTTGTGTGGTGAGAGACAGTGGTGAGACACTTGTGTGGTGAGAGACAGTGGTGAGACACTGGTGATGGACAGGCAGCAAGAGAGTCAAGTAATGCTAAGAAAAACTGAGAAAGAATGAGAATGAATAAGACAAATGAGCACTTAAGCCATTAGTAAGAAAAAGTGAGAGAGAATGAGAGTAAACATGAAACACTTACGATATCCAGTATTGCCAGTAGGATACCGCAGACCACAACACTCTTCAGAGTGCAAGCCATGGCTATCGTGGTCCTCTACTTCTCTGGTCTTTCTTGTGGTCTTCTGATCTCCAGAATTTATTTTTTTCCCTTCCACACTTTCACTTCCTGTTTGTCTTTGTCCTCTTTACACTTTCCTTGTTTTGCCTCCTCTACTTTCTTGAAATGTTCGTCTTCCTCTTCACCCTTCTGCTTCTTTGTCCTTCTTTATTAGTCTCTGTTTTTCCCCCTCCTGTGCGTACCTAGCGTTCAGAGGCAGCTGGTCCTGGGAGGGTAAATGTTGTTAGGTGAGTCAGACACATTATACAACTTCCAAGAACTACGCACTTCTGTGAGTCACAGGATACTCATGACTCACATTTAAAAGTACCTTATAAATTATGAGCAACATCTGGGTATCTAGTGGACGTTCCGTCATCCAGTGGCATGATAAAGACACTGGCTGGTGGAATGTCTACAATAAATATTCACAGATGTTAGACATGTGTTTAATTCTTCATCTTCTCAGTATTATATACAACACATGAGCTTCTCATATATTAATGTATAGTTATGGTAACACCTAAATACATGTATAAACATATATAAACTACACACAAGTATATAAACTACACACACTGGCCTTTGATTTCAAGGACTCAATTGCCATGGGTTCAGCCGCCACCCGTTCCTTGATTTATATAAACTGATTTATATAGGCTGGGATCTCCCGGCCCATAAAAATAAATTGATTCTCTAGAAAAGGGCCCATCAAGGGTGTCATTAGTATTAGATTTAGAAGAGATTTAGAAAGTGCTGGATCGGTGGTAGAGTTGTAGACGAGTGGAACACACTCTCATGAAGCCTAACTTAGGCAAGAACTTTGGAAAGCTTTAAATATAAGTTAGACGGGATTATTAATAGATGATGGTGTGAGTTAGACGTCTCTAACATAGGCCAACAGGCCTACCGTAGTGTTCCTGAAAAGCGGACATAAATTAATGAACGCTGACCAAGACAACGCAAAGACTTCAAGACCTGGAATTTACCTGGAAAGGGTTTCCGGGGGGGGGGTTAAACGCCCCCCGCAGCCGGTCTGAGCCCTGGTTCATCCAATAGACAATACCTTGATAGGACAAAACCAAGAAAAATACTGTTTGTCCGGGAAGTTAAAATAAGAGTAAGACCCCGCTCCCCCTAGAAGGATAAGACTCCCAGCTCACCTGCAGTATAAGACTCCCAGCTCACCTAGCGGGTTAAGGCCCCAGCTCCCCTAGCGGGTTAAGATCCCAGTCCCTACAGGTATAAGACTCCCAGCTACCTAGCAGGTATAAACCCCCAGCTCACCAGCGGTATAAGCCCCCCAGCTCACCTAGCAGTATAAGGCCCCCAGTCCCTAGCAGGTTTTAAGACCCAGTAACTAGCAGGTATAAGGCCCCCACTCACCTAGCAGGTATAAAGACCCCAGCTCACCTAGCAGTATAAGAACTCCCAGCTCACTAGCGGTATGGGACTCCCAGCTCACCTAGCAGGTATAAGACTCCCAGCTCACCTAGCAGGTATTAAGACTCCAGTCACTAGCAGGTATAAACTCCGCTCACTAGCAGGTATAAGGCTCCAGCTCCCCTTTGCAGGTAAAAGGGGCTCCAGCTCACTAGCAGGTATAAGACTCCAGTTTCACCTAGCGGGTTTTAAAAGACTCCCAGCTCACCTAAGCAGGTATAGACTCCAGATCTCACCTAGCAGGTATAAGGCTCCCAGCTCACCTAGAGGTATAGACTCCAGCTACCTAGCTGGTATAAGACTGCCAGTCACCTAGAGGTATAACTCCCAGCTACCTAGCTGGTATATGACTCCCAGCCATCTAAGGTATAAGACTCCCGAGCTCACTAGCAGGTATAGACTCCAGCATACCTAGCAGGTATAGACTCCAGCTCACTAGAGGTATAAGGCTCCAGTCACCTAAATAGGTATATGACTTTCCGCTCACTAGCAGGTATAAGACTCCAGCTCACGGTATAAGACTCCCAGCTCTCCTAGCAGGTATAAGACTCCCAGCTCACCTAGCAGGTATAAGGCATCCAGCTCACCTAGCGGTATAAGACATCCAGCTCACCTAGCAGGTATAAGACTCCAGCTCACCTAGCAGGTATAAGACTTCCAGCTCACCTAGCAGGTATAAGACTCCCAGCTCACCTAGCAGGTATAAGGCTCCCAGCTCACCTAGCAGGTATAGACTCCCAGCTCACCTAGCAGGTATAAGACTCCCAGCTCACCTAGCAGGTATAAGGCTCCAGCTCACCTAGCAGGTATAAGACTCCCAGCTCACCTAGCAGGTATAAGACTCCCAGCTCACCTAGCAGGTATAAGACTCCCAGCCTCACCTAGCAGGTATAGACTCCCAGCTCACCTAGCAGGTATAAAACTCCCAGCTCACCTAGCAGGTATAAGAGACTCCCAGCTCACCTAGCAGGTATAAGACTCCCAGCTCACCTAGCAGGTATAAGACTCCAGCTCACCTAGCAGGTATAAGACTCCCAGCTCACCTAGCAGGTATAAGACTCCCAGCTCACCTAGCAGGTATAAGACTCCCAGCTCTAGCAGTTAAGACCCGCTCACTGCAGGTATAAGACTCCCAGCTCACATGCAGGTATAAGACTCCAGCTCACCTAGCAGGTATAAGACTCCCAGCTCACCTAGCAGGTATAAGGCTCCCAGCTCACCTAGCAGGTATAAGACTCCAGCTCACCTAGCAGGTATAAGACTCCCAGCTCACCTAGCAGGTATAAGACTCCCAGCTCACATAGCAGGTATAAGACTCCCAGCTCACCTAGCAGGTATAAGACTCCCAGCTCACTAGCAGGTATAAGACTCCCAGCTCACCTAGCAGGTATAAGACTCCCAGCTCACCTAGCAGGTATAAGACTCCCAGCTCACCTAGCAGGTATAAGACTCCCAGCTCACCTAGCAGGTATAAGACTCCCAGCTCACCTAGCAGGTATAAGACTCCCAGCTCACCTAGCAGGTATAAGACTCCCAGCTCACCTAGCAGGTATAAGACTCCCAGCTCACCTAGCAGGTATAAGACTCCCAGCTCACTATCAGGTATAAGACTTCCCAGCTCACCTAGCAGGTATAAGACTCCCAGCTCACCTAGCAGGTATAAGACTCCTAGCTCACCTAGCAGGTTATAAGACTCCAGCTCACCTATCAGTATAAGACTTCCCAGCTCACCTAGCAGGTATAAGACTCCCAGCTCACCTAGCAGGTATAAGACTCCCAGCTCACCTGCAGGTTAAGGCTCCCAGCTCACCTAGCAGGTATAAGACTCCCAGCTCACCTAGCAGGTATAAGACTCCCAGCTCACCTAGCAGTATAAGACTCCAGCTCACCTAGCAGGTATAAGACCCAGCTCACTGCAGGTATAAGACTCCCAGCTCACCTAGCAGGTATAAGACTCCTAGCTCACCTAGCAGGTATAAGACTCCCAGCTCACCTAGCAGGTATAAGACTCTAGCTCACCTAGCAGGTATAAGACTCCCAGCTCACCTAGCAGGTATAAGACTCCCAGCTCACCTTAGCAGGTATAAGACTCCCAGCTCACCTAGCAGGTATAAGACTCCCAGCTCACCTAGCAGGTATAAGACTCCCAGCTCACCTAGCAGGTATAAGACTCCAGCTCACCTAGCAGGTATAAGACTCCCAGCTCACCTAGCAGGTATAAGACTCCCAGCTCACCTAGCAGGTATAAGACTCCCAGCCTCACCTAGCAGGTATAAGACTCCCAGCTCACCTAGCAGGTATAAGACTCCCAGCTCACCTAGCAGGTATAAGACTCCCAGCTCACCTAGCAGGTATAAGACTCCTAGCTCACCTAGCATGTTGAAATGCCACTCTAATTTACACCATTATATGCAGGATATGTTTTTCTAACATTATTATGTACCTGGTAAATACTCCAGGATACTTTCTAGCTATTGTATCGTCTAGTAACAACGTCATGAACATTTCAGCTATTGTATCGTCTAGTAACAACGTCATGATACATTTCTAGACTATTGTTGTTAGTAATAACGCTCAGATTTTCTAGACTATGTATCGTTAGTAATAAACGCCTCAGTATATTTCTAGACGTATGATCGTCCAAGTAATAACGTCAGGATAACATTCTAGACTATTGTATCGCTAGTAATAACGCCCCAGGATACATTCTAGCTATTGGTATCGTCTAGTAATAACGCTCAGATACATCTAGACATTGCGTTAGTAATAACGCTCACATACATTTCTAGGCTATTGTATCGTAGTAATACGCTCAGGATACATTTCTAGACTATTGTATCGTCTAGTAATAACGCTCACGAACATTTCTAGACATTGTTCGTCTAGTAATAACGCTCACGATACATTCTAGACTATAGTATCGCTAGTAAAACGCTCAGGATATATTCTCCAGACTATTGTATCCTTTAGAAATTACGCTCAGGATACATTCTAGACTATTGTATCGTCTAGTAACAACGTCATGATACATTTCTAGCTATTGGTATTCTAGTAATACGCCAGGATATATTTCTAGACATTGGTACGTTATAACGCCAGGATACTATTTCTAGACTATGTATGTTGTATAAGACTCAGGATACATTTCTAGACTATGTATCGTCTAGTAATAACGCTCAGATCTTTCTAGACATTGTATCGTCCAGTAATAACGCAGGATACATTTCTAGATATTGTATCGCTCATAGTAATAACGCTCACGTACATTTCTAGCATTGTGTATGTTAACGCTCAGGATACATTTCTAGCTATTGTATGTCTAGTATAACGCTCACGATACTTTCTAGCATTGTATGTCTAGATAACAGCTCACGTAATTGCTAGACTATAGTATCGTCTAGTAAATAACGCTCAGGATATATTTCTAGACTATGTACTCTAGAATTACGCAGGTATACATTTCTAGACTATTGTATCGTCTAGTACAAGACTCATGATACATTTCTAGACTATGTATCTCTAGTACGCTCAGGATGTATTTAGACTATTGTATCGTCTATGAGATTACGCTCAGGATACTTTTCTAGACATGTACGTCTAGTAATAACGCTCAGGATACATTCCTAGGCTATCGTATCGTCTAGTAATAACACTCAGGATACATTTATAGACTATGTATCGTCTAGTAATAAGGCTCACGATACATTTCTAGACTATTGTATCGTCTATAATCCCACCCGCTCCCAGCCCCGCATCTCAGTATTCTAGGTATTGTATCGTCTA